AAAGCCGTTGAAATGCCAGGATTTGACAGTTAAGAAAATCAAAGATGAGGGCCGGCAGAGTGGTGCATTGGTTAGGAGTAGGCTTGGGATGCCAGTTCTGAGCAGCAGAGTCCCGGTTTGGATCCCATATTAGGGCCAGTGATGCTGCGCCCTCTACAGCTAAGATGGTGAACAACAGCTCGACTTGGAGCTGGGCTGCTGTGAGTCAGCCAGTGACAGCATAGGCTGCAGTGGGGCTGTCCAGCAGCTGGTGTGAGCTTTCATGAGCTGCTGTGAACCAATGTGAGTGGCCGTCCAATGGCCGGCAAGCGACTGCCTCACCCGGAAAGAGTGCAATGATAATGCCAACATGGGCCAGTGAAGTGACGTCCTCCACAGCTAGACTGAAGAACAGAAGGACAGCAACTTGTCTGTTCCCCTTCTCCGATTCCCCAACGCTGTTCCCCTCCCCCAATTCCTCAATAAAATCTTAAAAAAAAGAAAAAAAAAGAAAATCAAAGATGAAGACACTAGACTTCAAAAAAAGATGCTTGGAATATCAAAGTATTACAGAAAGCCTTTGGGAAAACTGAAGTCCTCAAGTATGTTTGCAAAAAGGATACTTTATATGATTGTTGTTTTGAATAAAAGACCACAGACTCAGAATTTTAAAGTGAGAGTTGTCTTTATTAAACTCCATTCCAGAAGGAAGGGAGTACTCACTAGCCAGAGGTTAGCACCACCATGTTCCAGTTCCTTACATCAAAATTCTTTATACCTACGTAAGTACAATCTAAGGCCTCTTTCAGAAACTGTCTTCTGGTTTGCAAGGGATGGGGTGCTAACACTTGAGTAGGAAAAATGAGGCCTTGCGACATTTTTCAGGGGAAGGGTTGTGAACCTTGTAGTCAAAGGTTGGCAAATTTAAAAAAGGATACTAGAGAAGGAGGACTGATAACATACATTTGAAGATCACAGTATTTGTTCAGGAAAATATGGTCTATGAAAGAATCCTGACGTTTGTCCAAAGTATTAAAACATTAAAAATCTCTTTATTGGTTTGAAATGTTAACTTCTAGAATATTCATGACAAGTTCTGTTGATTTTCTTCTTTATATTCCTCTCTTTGTGGATCATCCACACTTTGACCCCTGTATATTCATGACTTTACATATAGCCATCCAGATATATATCTTTGTTTTTTTCTCTACCTTTTGGGCCTTTGGCCAATTAATAGGTTGTCTTTACAATAGGACAGGCAAGCCCAAGCTAGCCTAATACATACATGGAGAACACATATTTTTACCAGCATAATTAGTGCATATTTTAAAAAATTTCATTCCATCTAATTTCCCTATATCCAGGACCTATCAGAATCAATGAGTTGTTTCTCTCAGAGTGGAGAACCAAGACTGTTTCTTTAATTTTAGGGATATCCCTTTCCAATGTTTACAGTTTAATAGCTTGTGTTAATAAGAATGCAAACATCATTTTGAACTATGATCATGAGGTCAAGAGCCATTTGATTCTGCCATAACAGAAATGAGATGATACTTCAATTTGTGGAGATTCAGGGTGTCACTGTTTGCATTAAAGCTTTACTTCAGTATTCCAGAGACATTAACATAACTGTTCCGGCCAGTGAAAAGAAAGAAAAAGTGATATGTGTTGGTTTCAGGTGAAAGCTTTAAGAGCAAGTGTGGCTTCCAACACATTCTTATTCCCTCTGGGGGGGGGGAAAATATATATATATAAATATTTAAGATTTTTATTGGGGAATTGGGGGAAGGGGAACAGACAAGTTGCTGTAGTTTTGTTCTTAAGTCTAGTTGTGGAGGACGTTGCTTCACTGGCCCAGGTTGGCACCATCATTGCGCTCTTCCCGGGTGAGGCAGATCAGTCGCNGGGTGTAGGCTACCGCCACATTGACTGTGCTGCTATCTACGGCAATGAGACTGAGATTGGGGAGGCCCTGAAGGAGGCTGTGGGACCTGGCAAGGTGAGGACTAGGGCCACAGAGGGGTGGGGTGAGAGATCTCAGAGGCTGGGGCTGGAGCCTTGCTGGAGGAGTCTGGTATCAGCTCCCCTCTAATTCCTCTCCCAGAGGTGAGGGTGGGTGAAACTGGGTGCCCATGGCTCTTCTCTCACTATGGGCCTTGCCCCCTGCACCAGGCGATATCTCGGGAGGAGCTGTTTGTAACTTCCAAGCTGTGGAATACTAAGCACCACCCCGAGGATGTGGAGCCTGCCCTCCGGAAGACACTGGCTGACCTCCAGCTGGAGTATTTGGATTTGTACCTGATACAC